CTCAGAGAGCACCAAGGTTCCACAAATATTGTCTTCTAAAGCAGCGGTTCTCAACCTGTGGGTCGTGACCCCATTTGGGGTCGAACGACCATTTCACGGGGGTCGCCAAACAACGCGGTCCGCCATTTTTTCCCCCTTTTCCTTAGCTGTGCTACTCCCTCTTATTCTATTGGCTTTCGAAAGCCAATAGAATAGACTCTCTTGAACAGAGTCTAATTCTATTGGCTTTCAAAAGCCAATAGGAATTGTCCAGGGCTGTCTCTGCCCTGCTGAGCCCGCCTAAAGCCCCAGTCTGCAAATGGTGCTGCAAGGGGAACAGTCTGCAGAGCTTCCCTCCCTGTTGAGCAACTAAAAAGTAAGTGAAAGAGGGCCAGGGGTGGGAGGTGGGAGGCTGATGGGTGCAGGAAGGGTTGCTGGCACGCGTGGGGCCCGGCAGGTGCCTTACCTGCCTTGGGCTGAGCCAGCTGGTGGCCCAGCTGATGGTCGCCCTGCGCCGCCGCTGCCACAGCCGCCCAGGAACATCCGGGCCTGCCTGCCGCCGCCCCTTGTCGGCTATGCCTCAGCCGGTGCAGGGGGCGTCACTGCGCATGCGCGGCACGTGCTTATGACCGGGGTCGCCGGTATAAAAAGGTTGAGAACCACTGTTCTAAAGGATCTGAATTCTTAGATCTTCAGAATCTGAGCACAAGTCCTTGTGTATTTCTCCATGTTCACTGGCTCCGTTTGGAATTTCCATCTTTTTAAGGAAAAACTCCCTGGCAGGTTCCTTGCTTTTAACAACGACACCGTAGAGAACTGTAATGTGGTCTTTCCAAGTTGAGAATCACTTTACCTGATGAGTTTCATTTGATGCATTTGTTTGATATAAACTTAGCAAAGTGGGATGATTTTCTTCTTGAGTGGTGGCCCAAAAAGAAAAAAGAAAGAATCCTTTTGAGGACAACTCCTTATTGTCCTCGCCCTCCGTTATATAAGTCTGTCTTCCAGCAATTCTGTTTCCTTCCAATTTATTTTCACATCTGTTAGAGAGAATAATTCACGTTTCAAATGACGATGGCTGCCATTGTTTTGTTCTATATTTTTCTTCCCCCGTTCTCGTTTGGCTGTGTCTTTCTCGCTTTCTAACCATCTGGATTTTAAGACTTAAAAAGGCTGTGCAGAATAATGAGGGGAGATTTTTCAAATATGTGGGTGGGATCGCGCTGAACTTGATGTATAATTTAAAGAAAAATCGAGAGTCCTTATGAATCTGTAATTCCTGCCATGTGTTATATGAAATTAAAAGGTAAATGAGAAAAAGAGAGAGAGAAAGCGGGGAGGGGGAAGAGAGAGAATATGAATCATTCATCCTCAATATTTTTAATTGTTTTATTTTCTTTCTTCTCCACCGCACTCCTGTATCAAACACTGAGGAATAAAGGACCAAACAGCTGTGTTTCCTGTCACAGAGGAAATTCCAAACTCTTGATGATATCAGTTTTTTTTAAAATCGGCTCAAAGTGGGACATGTCAGAGACTAAAAGATTTTTCATCTTGTCCCAAAATAGCCAAAAACAAAACATTGGAGATTAAATTATCCCAACGGTTGGAGAAATAGACCGACTCGTGAGGCTCTTTTGATTAATTATATTTTTCTCTTGTATCTGCTGCACAGTAATTTGGTTCAACAATCAAGGCATTGATGACAAAGGCTAGATTTTGTTCTACTTCTTACCCATAGCTTCTTCTAACTATGGTTGTGTAGGAGAAGAGCAGCAGAGCTAGGGGGACAGCGTTAAGTAAGTCATCAGCCTGGAGTTGTTACGTTACCACAAACGGTCTAAGTCTAACCACCCTTGAATTCCGTTGACCGTTATCTGACATAAATTTAGTATTGTACGTTAGTTGATTGGATTCTTGGTTATGAGCATGAGCAATAAATCTTCTCAACTGGAACTCGTGTGACTCTCATCCTTTACACCTGATGGGTTTGTGGCCTTCTTCCTGGCTACATTTTATCTTGTAAGGATAGGAATTATTATCCAGAGGGTTGTTTTGTTTAGGGATCAAGAAGATGCCCTCCTGGGGATGTTTGATGCAGATGTTGGCCCCATGGTTCATACTGAGAATATCAGGACCCTTAATTCGTGAACCAGGGATGAAGTTAAAAGAGAACAGTTCAGTAGGAGGAGAGAGTGCAAAAGAGAGGGATAACTACAACACAGCACTAGAGGAAAAAGGATCTGAAGCCAGAATTAATTGAAAGCAAAGTTAAGATTCAGAGGATTCATTGGAAGAGTTGAGGGACCTTCAAGGTTTGGTTCCGTAGCCATCTTGTGGAGCACCAACAACTTCATATTTGCTCAAATAACCCTAACGTCTAAGGAGATTCTCAGTCATCCAGATCATGATTGTCCCAAAGGTGCTTTTTCAAAAGTTCACTGGACTTTGTTTTTCCTTAAAGATGTTTCACTTCTCATCCAAGAAGCTTCCTCAGTTTCTTCAATGAACTAAAGAAGCTTCTTGGATGAGAAGTGAAACGTCTTCAAGGAAAAATAAAGTCTAATCGCCTTTTTAAAAAGCACCTTTGGGACAAATAGCCCTAATAATTTATACAGCTAGTCCTCAACTTACAAGCATTCTTTTAGTGACTATTTGAAATTACAACGGCACTGAAAAAAGTGACTTATGACCATTTTTCACACTTATGACCATTGCAGCATCCCCATAGTCACGTGATCAAAAATTCAGACTCTTGGCAGCTGGCATGTATTTATGACTGGTGCAGTGTCCCAGGGGTGTGTGTGTCACGTGATCCCCTTTTGTGACCTTCTGACACGCAAAGTCAAAGGGGAAGCCAGTTTCACTTAACAATCTTGTTACCAGCTTAACAACAGCAGTGATTCCCTTAACAACTGTGGCAAGAAAGCTTATAAAAAGGGGCAAATCTCACTTAAAATCTGTCTTGCTTAGCAACAGAAATTTTGGGCTGAATTGTCGTAAATTGAGGAATACCTGTACTAAACATGGCTCTTCCAAGGCTACCGGTGCTGTGACACGAAGTACCATCCTTTTAGCAAAGGTCATTTAATGGTCATTTAATAGAAACATGGTTAGTTTTCACATCGGCTCAGTTCTTAACACCAGTTGCCATAATGACTTGAAAGCTCACAGGGGAGCAAAAGTCATTTTTATGAAGTCTGTCAAGTCCACACCCACTATTTGCGTGAAAGGAACCCAAATTTCTTTAAGAAAACATACTTTAAAAATTACGTATTTTCAATCCCGGTAAATCCCTTTTGGGGCCAAACAACAAACTCCAAAATGGCTGGCGTTTTTCCACAGAAACTGCTGATATGTGCTGCTTAAGTGGTTTTTTTGGGGGGGGGTGGGGGAGGAGAGAAAGTAGAGGTTGAAGGCACGGGAGAACAGTAGAGAAAAGAGAAATGTGTTTACTTTTCATTTTAAGTCTTGGCCAGAGAATTTATGATCTGCTTTGGAAACTGTATCAGCTCATGATATTTTGTGGGACTCTTGTTGTTGGCTTTCTGATGTCTGGTAGATCAGCGGCCCCTCAACCTTTTGGGCACCAGGGACCCTTTCCGTGGAGAGAGGTTTTTCCGTGGATTGGATAAGGTGTGGTTTCATGTGCTGCCTGTATCCTTTGGATGGGGCTTTGCTTGTTTGTGCGGACCGGTTGCTGACATGCCGCGGACCGGTGCCAGTCCACGGACCGGGGGTTGGGGACCCCTTTGGTAGATGATCTTTGGTTTTTCTGCTCCTGATCTCCCACCCCCCCATGTTGTTCCTTGTTTTGCTTTGAGATGGGTTAGTGAACCTGATTGCTAAGGGCATATGGAACAGCCCATATTTTTAATGGCTAATTGCATTTCCACATTTGAATGCCTTTTTCCTTGAACATAAAGCAAACTAGGCTAACATTGATGTAAGCGACTGTCAAGAAAAGCTTTAGGGAAATGTCTTCTTAAAGCTTTATGATCCTTTCTCAGGTTCTGGAGACAAAAAAAAAAAAAAATGGATGGCCTAGACTAGAGCAGGGGTAGGCCACCTTGGCTCTTTTATGACTTGTGGACTTCAACTCCCAGAATTCTGAGCCACTATGGCTCAGCTTGGAAAGCTCTCCCTTTTCCCTCAGCATGGCTGTCTCAGGAATTCTGGGAGTTGAAGTCTACGAGTCATAAAAGAGCCAAGGTTGCCTACCCCTGGCCTAGAGTCACTGAAGGACATACAGCCATTCATTTAGTGACTATTTGAAGTTACTACACTGAAAAAAGTCACTTGTGACTGATTTTCACATGACCATTCCATCATCCCCATGGTCACGTGATCAAAATTTGGATGTGTGGCAACTGACTCATCTTTATGACGGTTGCAGTGTCCCAGGGTCTTGTGATCACCTTTTGCGACCTTATGACAAAACGAAGCCAGTGGAGAAGTCAGATTCATTTAACAATCAAATTACTAACTTAACAACTGCAGTCATTTCACGTACAACTGGGGCAAGAAAGATGATGAAATGCGGCAAAGCTCACTTAAAAACTGGCAAGAAAGATGATGAAATGCGGCAAAGCTCACTTAAAAACTGCCCCGCTTAGCAACAGGGGCTTGATTGTGGTCATAAGCTGAAGACTACCTGTATACGTTTTTCTAAGAGGGATGTTTTACGTCATGAACGTATAAAGCTGATTTATACAGTAAGTCAAACTAAAAAGCAGTATGAACTGCTTCATTTACGTTAGTTTTTTCTTCTTCTTCATTTTATGTGCAAACAGCATCCTCTGGCTGTCGTTAGTGCCCAATAATGGCACCATAGAAAGCATAGAACAAGAATTATGTGGCTGTTTTTCTCTTCTACACTGCCCTAGGTCAGCAATCCAATGCCAGTGGGCATCATGGCAACCCTCCTCCCCTCCCTTCCCACTGCACAAATCACATTGGCATAGTTATGCATTATTTACTTTCTGATTTAGGGCTAATGTTTCTTTTTCCTCTCTTTCCAGTCTTCGGGTACCAGTATAACGGTAGATATTGCCGTCATGGGAGAAGCTCACGGACTCATTACTGACCTTCTAGCAGATCCCTCTTTGCCACCCAATGTCTGCACCTCCCTCCGAGCAGTGAGCAACCTGCTTAGTACACAGTTGACTTTCCCAGCTATTCATAGACCAAGAGTCAACACTTTGGCATCCTTCAATGAAAATTACACCGGTTCTGACACCGAAGAATGTTCAGAGAAGGGAGAGAAGCTTACTATTCCCAAGGTAGGTTGTGTCTATTTGGCTTGCCAACATGACTTCTTTTTGTGCACCCAGTAGTAAACCAAACCAAGGAATCAACTCCATAGGCTAAAAAGCGAAAGCTACTTTTATTGTACAGTGGTATCTTGGTACCCATCGTTAATTGGTTCCAGGAGACATGACGAATACAAAAAACTATGAGTACCAAGCAATTTTTTACTGTAAGGAGTAATGAATGTAGTGTAGTGAGTCACAAGGCAGCTGACACCGACAAGTTTTAACGTGTGTTAAGTACCAAACAAACAAGGAGTACTAGGATAAAATTTTCACACCAAAATGCAAAATTCAAAATTCTTATGAGTTTCAAAGCAGTTGAGTATCAAGGTAGTGCTGTAATTAGCTCTAATAACAGAATCTTGTAAGTCAGATTCTGCTGGTCCCTTCTCTGCCTCTTCATACTCCAATGAATCAGAGAGGTGTTTCTCTGAGCCATTTCCAAATGTTATGTGGTTATTCTGGACTTAAAATATGTTTTCCCTCTCCAAACTACTACTACTACTACTACTACTACTACTACTACTACTACTACTACTATCCTCTTCCTCCTCCTCCTCCTCCTCCTTCTAGAATTTCAAAAGTAGATTACTGTTCATTGAATTGTATAAAATGAAACTCAAGCAGATAACTGTGTTTTCTGCATTTAAATCCTGGTTTTATATTCATTAGGCTTAATTAGCAACAGCTTCTGTGCTTAGATGCTATGGAAGAACTGCAAAGGAAGGAAACTGACACCAGAGTAGATGCAGAAATAGTGAAAAAAAGGGGGACTCATTGGCAATCTCAGTCCAATAACAGAATAACAGTTGGAAGGGACCTTGGAGGTCTTCTAGTCCAACCCATGACTCTAAGCAGGGAACCCTATACCATGTCAAACAAATGGTTGTCCAATCTCTTGTTAAAAACTTCCAGTGTGGGAGCACCCACAGTTTCTGGAGGCAAGTCGTTCCACTGATTAATTATTCTGTCAGGAAATTTCTCCTTAGTCCTGGGCTCTTAGCTCTAGTTCAATAAACTATGGCGGTGTTTCTCAACCTTGGCAAACTTGAAGATGTGTGGACTTCAGCTCCTAGAATACCCCACCCAGCCAACGTCTTTATGTTGTCCAGACTGAGAAACACTGATGGCAAGGTGAAATGCCATCAGACAGGGGCCCAATTGAAATAAAATGAACTCTGCAAGATACCCATTTCACCCATCATTTTATTCAAATAAGTTAGGAATCTGATATTTAAGAGAGCATCAGAAACACAGGAGTATCTGAAACATACATTTCCCATCCATGGGAATAGAATAAATGATGACAGTTTTGGATAAAAGGACTGTGCACAATATCCTTGAACTGGGCTTAAAGTCCAAGACAAAGACTGTAGAACAGGGGTTCTCAACCTTGGCAACTTTAAGACTTGTGGACTTCAACTCCCAGAATTCCTCAGCCTTTGCTGGCTGAGGAATTCTGGGAGTTGAAGTCCACAAGTCTTAAAGTTGCCACGGTTAAGAACCCCTGCTGTAGAATGTTGTCAGAAATTAGTAGTGGGGCATTTTCTTCATCTACCGAGTTATCCAGTGTACTTGCTAATAACAACTGAAGATCATGGATAAAAACAACATAGAACACAAAATCATGGGGCTGTAAGGCACCTCAGAGATCTTCTAGTCCAACCCTCTGATCAAGGCAGGAGACTTTAGAATAGAATAGAGCTGGAAGGGGCCTTGGAGGTCTTCTAGTCCAGCCCCCTGCCCGAGCAGGAGAACCTATACCATTTCAGACAAGTGACTGTCTAGTCTCTTCTTAAAAAATCTCCAGTGATGAAGCACCCGCAACTTCTGAAGGCAAAGCTGTTCCACTGGTTAATTGTCCTCATTGTTAGGAAGTTTCTCCTTAATTCCAGGTTGCTTCTCTCCTTGATTAGTTTCCATCCATTGTTTCTTATTCTGCCCTCTGACACTTTGGAAAATAATTTGACCCCCTCTTCTTTGTGGCAGCCCCTCAAATATTGGAATACTGCTATCAAGTTGCCTCTGTTTCTTCAGACTTATACCATCCCAGTCAAATGGTTGTCTAGTTTATTTTTTTAAAACCTCCAGTGATGGAGCATCCACAACTCAGGGGTGGCAAGCTATTCCATTGATTACTTATTCCCACTGTCAGAATTTTTCTCTCTCTTTCATAAGCTGTCACCCATTACCTCTTGTCCTATCGTCAGGTGCCTTGGAGAATAACTCGATTCCCTTTTCTCTGTGACATAATAAAGTAATCACAATATGTTGTTGTCTTACCTACAGCGCTGTCGGAAAAGCCTACCCCCAGGTCTTCTACGGCGAGTGTCATCCACTTGGACAACCACCACATCTGCCACTGGTTTGCCCACCTTGGAGCCAGCTTCCGTTCGAAGGGACCGCAGTCCTAGCATCAAACTTTATGATACTTCACCGTCCAGGTAGGAAAATAATTGCAGATTTTTTTTTCCCAAATGAGGACGGGCCTTGGTGGCAAATAGAATGCACAGACTTATTTTAGAAAAATAGAATATAATAAGGCGACTGACATGATGCAACCATAAAGATTATACACTAATTCTCCAAAATGCCCCGCTGGCGTTTGTGGACTTGGCCAGCAAGACTTGAAAGTTATTGGCAGCCAAAACAGTCTGATAGCAGTTCAGATAGTCCTCATCTTACAACTGTTCAAAGTTGCAGTGGCATTGAAAAAAGTGACCTTGATCTTTAACGACTATTGCTGCATCCCCATGGTCACGTGATCAAAAGTTAAAAGGCTTGGCAACTGGCATGTATTTATGACAGTGTCAGTATCCCTGGGTCATATGATCACCTTTTGCGTCCTTTTGCAAAGTTAACGGGGAAATCAGAATCACTTAACAACTGTGTTACTAACTTTAACAACGGCAGTGATTCACTTAACAACTGTGGCAAGAAAGATCGTAAAATGGGCTAAAACTCACTTAACAACTATGTTGCTTAGCAGTGGAAATGTTGGGCTCAATTGTGGTTGTAAGTCAAGGACCTACACCCGTGAAAAACAATCAGATAACCTAGGAAGCAAATGAGCATGAACAATTGTGAAAGGGTAAAAACCATTGGCCTCTCTCTGATTAACAAATTCAATTGCATTAAGACACTTCACCAATTAAAAACCTGTTGCCGTGGTTGTAATTGATTCATCCTTTCACAAATGTCAGGTCTGATTGAAATAGATACCTTTAGGTGCTGCAAGGATAAATGTAGGATATTCACATATAATGTGGAAGAAGATCCCATTGAATTGAAGTCCATACATCTTAAAAGTTGCCAAGGTCGAGAAATAACTCTCTCTCTCTCTCTCTCTCTCTCTCTCTCTCTCTCTCTCTCTCTCTCTCTCTTTCTCACACATGCATTCAACTTTGCCTATCTTAGATTCAAATGATGTCAGTTTGTAAGCTGCCTGTAAACATCTGATTGGCTGTTGCAAGACACACGAAGTTACAGGTTCCTAGGGATTGTGACCATCAGCCTGACCTCTGTTCTTTGTAAGAAAGCCCACAAATGAGAATTGTGCTGCCTTTCTCTTTTATTTCCACAGCTCTGATTCATGGAACAATTCTCTCCTGATGACTCTCACCAAAAGTCGATCCTTCTCAACCTCCTACGCGATGACTGCTGCCAATCATCTGAATTCAAAGCGGCCGAGCCGACAAGGTGGTTATTCATTTTATCTTATAGACCCGCCTTCCAGGCGGCGAACATTTCCAACACACCTTCCTCCTCCTATTTTCCCCACAACAACAACAACAACCCTGTGAGGTGAGTTGGGCTGGGAGAGCACGACTTGTTCAAAGTCACCCAGCTGGCTTTTGTGCCTAAGGCGGGACTAGAACTCGTGGCCTCTCGCTTTGTAGCCCGGTGCCTTAAGCAGTAAGTTAAAGCTCTCTAGTTATCTACTGAGCATGCTGATTTTATGAATTCAAGGCTATTGATCCAGTAAAGCAGTGGTTCTCAACCTTTTTAATGCCGCGACCCCCAACCGGTTGTAAGTCGAGGACTACCCAACCGGTCGTAAGTCGACTTTCCCTGCCCGGGAGTGTCGCGCATGCGTGGTGCCGCCCCCTGCGCCGGCCAAGGCGTAGCTGGCAAGGGGCAGCGACGGCGCAGGGCGACCACTGGCTGGGCCACCAGCTGGCCCAGCCCAAGGGAGGTAAGGCACCCGCCGGGCCCCACACGCACCAGCAACCCTCCCTGCGCCCGCCAGCCTCCCATCTCCCACCTCGGCCCTCTTTTACTTACATTTTTAGTAGTTGCTCAGCAGGGAGGGGTGGAAACTTCCAGACAGCTCGCCTTCGCTGCAGACAGCTTGCAGCACTGTTTGCAGAATGGGACTTTTGGTGGGCTCAGCAGGGCAGAAACAGCCTGGACAATTCCTATTGGCTTTTGAAAGCCAATAGAATTAGACTCTATTCAAGAGAGTCTATTTTATTGGCTTTCAAAAGCCAATAGAATAAAAGGGAGTAGCACAGCTAAGGAAAAGGGGAAAAAATGGTGGACTGCATTGTTTGGCGACCCCCGTGAGATGTACATTCGACCCCAAATGGGGTCCCGACCCACAGGTTGAGAACCACTGCAGTAAAGAGACAGACAGCCCAGCTCTTATGGATTTCAAGTTAGACCCCGAGAGGTTCTCAAATGAAATGACATTTGCAGCCTGGATGAATATTTCTTCTCCAGCATTTTTTTTAACCAGTGGTGATATGCAACAGGACAGAGTTCCCCAACCTTTTGGGCACCAGGGACCGGTTCCACAGATAAAGGTTTTTCCATGGACCAGGGGATGCGTGGTTTTGTGTGCTACTTGCATCTCGCGGATGGGGCTTTGCTTGTTTGTGCAGACCAGATGGTGGCATGCCGCAGCCGGGTACCAATCCACAGACCAGGGGTTGGGGACCCCTGCAATAGGACTACTATTTTTGTTATTAACACAGGATCCTTTAGCACAGGTAAAGGATCTTTTGGAAGCAAAGGTCTAACCTAGAAGGGCTACTTTAAGGCAGTAGACACCATACGTTGTTTTTGTTCTTGGCCCAAATCAACCCATTGTATTGAACTTCATTTAAGTACCTTAACCTACTGCACTACTTTTTATTAGCTTCGCAGTTCAGGGCCGACAGGGTGACCAATTCAAATCACCCTGTACAGCTAGTCCTCGACTTAACGACCACAATCGGGACCAGAATTTCTGTTGCTAAGCAAGGGTGGTTGCTAATGAATCACACTTGATTTTATGACCTTTTTTTTTTTGCCACGGCTGTTAAGTGGATCACTGCAGTTGTCAAATGACTCAGGCAGTCGTTCAGAAAATCTGGCTTCCCCCGTTGACTTTGCTTCTTGGAAGCCAACTGGGAAGGTCACAAACGGTGATCACGTGAGCCCGGGAGATTGCAACCCTCTCAAATACATTGCAGTTGCCAAGCGCTCAGATTTGGATTATGTGACTGTGGGGGTGCCGCAGTGGTCATAAGTATGAGAACCAGCCACTGAAGTTACAATGGCATTGAAGAAACAACTAGTCCTCCCACTTAACAACCGTTGCAGCGTCCCCATGGTGACCTGTCCAGAATTCAGGTGCTTGGCAACCTGCATAGATTTAAAGATGGTTGCAGCATCCTGGGGTCCTGTGATCATCATTTGTGACCTTCCCAGCCAGTTTCTTACAAGTAGAGTCAACCGAGCAGTGGGGGTGGGGGGGGGTTCACTTAACTAACATTGCAAAAAACATTGTAAAATTGTATAGGATTCATTTAACAACCACTAAAATTCTGGTTCCAGTTGTCATATGTTGAGGACTATTTGTAGAGGGTTGGCTTCACGAAGCGATATATACAAAGTGTCAACTTCGAAGCGCGCATATGCTGTTGCCACCATTATTTCTTTTCAGCTTGCCAACGCACTGGGCGGGGGGAGAGGGGGAAATGGAATGCAGGCTCCAGACAACAAGTCAGGCCGTGTGAACCAAGGATGTTTCAGCAGGTGTTGGCAAGCCCACAGAGATACTTTCTCATAATAGTATGTTGACACTCGTTTGGACCATGTGACCTGCACTAATAGGAGGAGGAGAATTCTGTATTTTAATTATAGTGGTTTGTGGGGCAAATAACCAGAGCTGGTTTTGCTTTCATCTGCGCCGAAATGCTGTACTCAATAAAGTTTTGCATTAAGAGATTGGATCGTGCTTGCTCAGTTGGGCCCGTCAGTCGGAACCTTGACACGGTGACCATTTGAAAAGTAACAATGTTTTCCCGTTCCACAGGTATCTCCCCAAATATTTCACCTCTTGTCTCTCCAAGCCATTCACCCGTCCAGGGTACTCCAGCCAACAGTCCCATCCGCAGAACCTCAGGAGTACAGTTTCCAGAGTCGACAGTCACGGCCACTACCCAAGCCATCAAGCCTCACAGGCTCTTAGGTTGCACTCAGAGTGCCCCTAACCTATCAGAGCCGGTGGAAGGCACCTCTGTCATTTGCAGTAGGTAAGCTCATACTTTGCTATTTGTGGGAACTTCTTATATTTTCCTGGGTGCTTAAATTTTGCTCTTTCTTTCCTGATCTCTGAGCTTTCTTCAGTAGAGCACATTGATATCGCTGCCTTGGTCAAGTCTTCTCCAGCCTGGGCCCCTCTCCATAAATATTGGAGTTTGTTTTATTTATTGTATCATGCCTTTATTGTTTTTACAAATAATTCAGTGGGGTGAACGCATCCAACACACCTTCCTCCTCCTATTTTCTGCCCAACAGGAACCCTGTGAGATGGATTAGGCTGAGAGAGTGGGACTGGCCCAACTGGATTTCATGTCTAAGGGTGGACTAGAAATCACAGTATTCTGATGATTGGCCCAAAGTCACCCAGTTGGTTTCATACCTAAGGCAGGACTAGAACTCACAGTCTTCTGGTGGACTGGGCCAAAGCCACCCAGTCGGGTTTCATACTTAAGGCAGGACTAGAACTCACAGTCTCCTGGTGGACTGGCCCAAAGCCACCCAGCCAGCTTTCATGCCTAATGCGGGACTAAACTCACCTTCTCCCATTTTCTAGCCTGGTGCCTTAATCACTAGTCCAAATTGTCTCTCAGCTAACTAGATGTCCAATCGCTGGGGAATTCCAGGATTTGAAATCCAGTGTCTTCTACAGTGCAAAATTGGGGGAGGCCAGTGGGGAAGAACATCGTCGTCATCATCATCATCATCACCCATCACCATCCTATATTTTGGTTGCAGCAACCACCAAAAAAAGCTAATACAATCCTGGGTTGTAGAAACAGAGTCACAGACTCAAGATCATGCGAAGTATTAGTACCGCTTTATAAAACCCTAGTAAGGCCACACCTGGAATACTGCAGCCAGTTTTGGTCCCTATGTCACGAAAAAGATGTTGAAAGTCTGGAAAAAATTCAGAGAAGAGCAACTAAGATGATCCAAGGCCTGGAGACCAAAACATACGAAGAATGGTTACAGGACTTGGGTTTGGCCAGTCTAAAGAAAAGAAGAAATAGGGAAGACATGATAGCAGTGTTCCAGTATCTGAGGGGCTGCCACAAAGAAGAGGGGGTCAGGTTGTTCACCAGAGCACCAGAGGGCAGGACAAGAAACAATGGTTGGAAGCTGATCAAGAGAGAAGCAACCTGGAATTAAGGAGAAACTTCCTGACAGTGAGGACAATCAACCAGTGGAATTGTCCAGAAGTCATAAAAGGGCCAGGTTTGAAGACCCCTGATCTACTGTGAGGCAAGTGCTATATTTACAGCAACCATGTGTCACTTTTCTCTCCTGAGAGACCAGTATTTTCCATTTTATTTTACTATTTTATTTCATTTATTTTATTTTGTAAATACAAGTTACTGCTGTCCAGTCACAAAGTCTCCCTTTTGTCACTCTGAAACAGACTTGGGCATTTTATTTCCGGCTCTTTGGCTGTCCCTGTCCAAAGCTCATGTGGATTGCTTTTATTTTGAATTAACTACTTCTCCCCCCCCACCCCAATTTACGTGTGTTTATGCATAGATGTCTATGCAGCTTCACAGCCCTATTAATTGGCTCTCCACAACCACCGGACCAATTTTTCCTGTGCTCCTTGGGAAAATTAATTGCCCATTGGGGTTCTAAAAATACTATTTCTTTTACCACTTCCGAAGGGTCCTGAGCATCTATTTCAAGTTTTAGAGGTTGCAGGAAGAAAGTGTAAACTGAGCTCTTTTAGCAGGTGGCATTTTGGTGCCCCCCCCGGATGATTTCTAAATTCTTCTTATTTCTCAGAAATGGGAAAATAAGGGTGTGGCATGTAAATCACTGCAGGATGCTTGCTGTAGAAAAACCAAGTGATAGTTGAGTTCAGACACTTGGAATTGTTCTTGGCAGAGGCACAGTACCTCGATATAGCTCACATCTTGACTTCATTTCCCACAAACGACTTTGTGGAAATGAAATATGTGGAATGGATTCAGTCAGGTGATCCTTCCAAATTGCCATCTCATTTCCCAATGAAATTGATTTAGGTCGTGTCCTTTATTCCGGAGTTCGGTATGTGGAAGGCTGAGATCCAGGGAAAATAAGGTCAACGGACAAACCAATAAAACGAAAGTATTTGAAAAAACTTTGATCCGTTGTGGAGTGCTGTCAGTTTCAATAGATCCAAGTTCAAAGTCCCTGTAAGGACTCCAGTGCGAGGTCTTCCAAACCAAGCTGCGTTGGTTCCCCATGAAAATTAAGTTTGGGAGTGAAGGAAGGATTTACAGTATGATTTTCACGCCAAAAGAATCCTAGTTAATTGTCATGCCAAGGAGGAGATGAAAAAGGAAGGACATCCGCCTGATTAATAAACCAAGTGGGGCAGCAATATAATTTTCCCCTAATCCTTTCGTGTGGCGAAAAAGAACGGAATGCTTTAAACCACGAGCACCGTTAGCATGCCTAATGCCCTATTATCCTGCCCTCTCTGGGGACAAATGAACCCCACATCGCTTTTGCGTTTTAATGATGTCATTCTGTCATCACTTACTTGAACTATTTCCTTTCTGAAGCATGCGTTCCTTGGATTAGAGGAAGAATAGGTTGATCTGATACGATAAAAGGAGTTTTTATTCATTAGTTTATATCCTGTCTTTATTATGTTTACAAATAACTCAAGGTGGCAAACATATCCAGCATATATATCCAACATGCCTTCCTTGTCTTCTCCTTCTTCTTCTTCTTCCTCCTCCTCCTCCTCTTCTTCTTCTTCTTCTTCTTCTTCTTCTTCTTCTTCTTCTTCTTCTTCTTCTTCTTCTTCTTCTTCTTCTTCTTCTTCTTCTTCTTCTTCTTCTTCTTCTTCTTCTTCTTCTTCTTCTTCTTCTTCTTCTTCTTCTTCTTCTTCTTCTTCTTCTTCTTCTTCTTCTTCTTCTTCTTCTTCTTCTTCTTCTTCTTCTTCTCGACAATTGTTAAGTCTGGGGTGTTGTTATTATTATTATTATTATGGATCATTGCACAGTCTGCCAGATGTTCAGACTGGATTTGGCATTTTGTCTACCTATTGAGTCCTTACCAAGGACCTAGGATGATGATAATGAAGTTGGAAGGGACCTTGAAGGTCATCAAGTCCAACCCCCTGCTCAGGCAGGAAACCCTACACTATTTCGGACAAATGGCTATCCAGTCTCTTCTTAAATCTTCCAGTGTTGGAGCATTCACCTCTTCTGGAGGCAGGTTGTTCCATTGGTTAATTGTTCTAGCTGTCAGGAAGTTTCTCCTTAGTTCTAGGTTGCTTCTCCCCTTGCTTAGTTTCCATCCGTTGCTTCTTGTCCTGCCTTCAGGCGCTTTGGAGAATAGCTTGACTTCCTCTTCTTTGGGGCAGCCCCTGAGATATTGGAACACTGCTATCATGTCCCCCCTTGTCCTTCTCTTCATTAAACTAGACATACCCAATTCCAGCAGCCGTTCCTTATATGTTTTAGCCTCCAGTCCCCTGATCATCTTTGCTGGTCTTTTCTGTACTCTTTCTAGAGTCTCAACATCTTTTTTACATCAGGGTGACCAAAACTGGATGCAGTATTCCAAGTGTGGCCTTAACCAAGGCATTGTACAGTGGTATTAATACTTCACATGATCTTGATTCTATCCCTCTTGTCAATGCAGCCCAGCACTGTGTTGGCTTTTTTGGGCACCTAGCTAGCTTTCATGCCTAAGGCAGGACTAGAACTCACCATCTCCTGGTTATTAGCCCAAAGTCACCCAGCTGGATTTCCCAGCTAAGGCTCAGAATCTCTGCACAGTCTAACCACGTTACCCAGCATGTTTCCTATCGTCATAAGCAATTTCCACCCAAATTTTGGATTGTGTTCTGTGCCATCATTTGGAAAACTGCAATATGACTGTAAGTCATTTGGGCTGTCCTCCTGGATCAAATTCTTGGCTTTCTGTAACAAATTGTACTCTGCATTTTGATTTCTTGGAACTAAGTTACACCCAATCCAAGCAGCAAATTATTTGCTCTCGTTTAAGTACATCCAGATTTGAACTCCACCTTCTCAGCTTCTAAGAGAGCGTCAAAGGGGTACCAGTAGTCCCTGACTTACGACTGCAATTGGAACCAGAATTTCTGCTAGTGGAAAAGCCCATGAAGTCATAAAGCGAGTCATCACATGACTGGACTCAATTTTATGACCGTTTTTACTGCAGTCATCACTATGGTATTTCAGCAGGTCACACAGTCGTGAAGCAAATCTGGCTTCCCTAGTTTGCTTTTTGGAAGCCATCAAGGAAGATCACGACTTATGATCCCATGACCACAAGATGCTAAACCATCATAAAAAAAAAACATAAATGCAAGCTGGTTGCCAAGCACCTGAATTGCGCTTGTGTGTCTGTAGGGGTGGTGCAAAGCTAATCACTTACAAGTCACTTTTTCTGAGGCTGCCTTAACTTCAAACTGTCATTAAGCAGTCATAAATTGAGGACTATTTCTGTGTCTCTCCCAAGCAAGATGCATAAGGGCAAAATTCACCCAGCTCCATTTTTTTCCCCCTTGTATAACTCTTGATGAGAAAATAGGTCAGGGCCGTGACATTTTATAATATGCTGAGTGCTTAAGGTACAATGAATTTAAATTATGAACTCACAGAAGACGGTTTCCAGGGGACAATTCAGACGTGAGCGGGCCAACAAATCCTGACACTTGGAATTGATTTTACAGACCGCTTTATTAATCGGAGACTTGAAATCACGGAGCGTCTCTCTCTTTGCACCGCACTTTGCAATTTTTAAAAGTTTTCTAAAAGCAGAGCTGATCTGGCCTGCTCCTTCCCATTCCTTCAGAGCCTTCTAAGATCAGGTTGCTGTCATGTGGGCTCAGATCACACATTTGGCAGCCCATATTTTCATTTTTGAAAACGCACTTGGCAAAATAAGAACTTAACGATCTCCGGCCTCCGCTGAACCCCCGCCAACCCCCAAAAATCTGAAATCCCACTCCAGTGATATTGCCGTGACCTCCTGAGGTTTCTAAGAAGCCAATTTATAACCAGCAAAAAAAAAATAAATAAATCTGTGACTTCTTGCCCCCCAAAAAGTTTGCCATCCCTTTTTTTAAAGTCCCTGTTTCTTCCCTTTTACGTTGCTTCCCCCCCTTAGCCAGTTTTACTCTGCTTTCACCATTCAAAGAGCGTTTGGTGATAGATAACCTTTATTATAATTTTTCACTGCGGGCACACTGGCACACTTTAAAAATGAAATTTAGTCGCTTCCTCTCAAAATGTACACATACATAGCCCACATTTAAAACATGCTATATACAACATATGTATAGACCCTTACATATAAGTAACATATAAATATTAATCACTGCCCATCTTGAATACATAACGGAAGGAGGAAGCTTGAGCGTTCACAAGGTTAATACTGTATGCAACAAAACTGTGACTGAATCTGGATGTTCTGCTTCGGATACCACGAAGCCTCCTCCCAGAAGTTAACAGGGAAAACAGGTCGTGAAGAGGATGTGTAGTGTCCCAGACAATCCTACGGACCCTGCTCAAGCAATGTTTACGTGCTAGGTTCTGGATGGAAGGGAGGGAACTGCCAATGATCTTTTCAGCCGTCCTCACCACTCTCCGCACCGCCTTCCTGTCTGAAGCAGGGATGCTTCCAAACCAGACTGATGCCGTATGACAGGATGCTCTCCATCGTCCCTCTGTAGAAAGTGGTCAGGACAGTGGAAGGAAGATGTGCTTTTCTCATGCGGCGCAGAAAATGCAGGCGCTGCTGTGCCCGCTTCCCCAGTGTCTCGCTGTTGAGCGACCAAGCCAGCCTACTTGTTAATTGCACACCCAGGAATTTGATGTTGGTAACCATCTTCACAGGTGAATCATTAATGCACAGAGGAGCGTGGCTGTGCCTGCCGATCCTGCCTTTTGTAAGAAAATAGGAACTCCTTGAGGCCAGATTATTACACTTTCCCACTCTGATCTGCCTGATAGTGCTGTGAAAACAGCTGAAGATATTACTGCTCAGTTTCTAGTGATTCTGGCTAAGATAAACCTTGGGCACTGTTTATATTCCTGCAAAACCTGAAGGTTTCATTTGGCCACTGAATGTACGAATTTGATGAATTTATCAGAGTGACCGATGTAAATTATAGGACGCCTAGGGCCTTTAATCCTTTTTTTTATTTTTTATTTTTTGCAAAGTCAGACCTACCCCCATCCCTCACTATGGATACTGTGGCGGATGCAAGGCATAAAGAAAATACGAATTGTTAAATTTAGGCTTAAAGAACAAAACAGAACAAGTCTAATAGCACCTGAATGTTTTTTTTAAATATATCATTTCGCATACGTGTGGGTTACAGGCACACAGAGTTCAAAGTCACAACAGCACTGAAAAAAATGACTTATGGCCATTTATCACATGACTGTTGCAGCAGCCCCATGAATGACGTGATCAAAATTTGGATGCTTGGCCAGTTGCTCATATTTATGACGTCCGGGTGTCTTGTGATCCCCTGCTGTGATTTTCTGACAAGCAAAAATCAATGGGGAAGCCAGATTTGTTTAGCAACTGTGTTACAACTGCAGTGATTCAGTTAGTGACGGTGGCAGGGAAGGACGTAAAAGGAGCAAAGCTGATTTGACAGCTGTTTCATGTAAGCAACAGAAGTTTTGGGCTCAACCATCGTAAATCGAGGACTACCTGTAGCTAGTTAATATGTCTACTAGTGGAAGCAAATGCATCTCATCCCACGTTCAGCTCACAAGAAATGGTGTTGACCATTTTCCTGATGGTGGGTTTCATAATGGAAGTATTCTTTGTGATTCAAAAGGGTATACACACATAACCCAGTTTTGTCTCTCATCTTTGCTTTTCACTCTTTCTTCCTTTTAGCTTTGCCTCTCCATCAACAGCTCCATGTATTTGTGTGTGGGTGTGAGTGTGTATAGAAACTGCTTTTTTATTACCACCACATCCTCTACAATCCCTGGAATTGATTTTTTTTTTAAGTGTGGCCCCTAACTGTAAAAATGTTTTCCACCTCTGTTATATATCAATTGTGTGTCGCATACCAGGATTAGAAAAAAAAAAATTCCATTTGCTCCACGTTTTGAAGTAATCTGATTTGATTCACTCTAAAGAGGCAGATTGGAACAATTATCCTTTGGTTTATGCAGATTCTCAATTTTGCAATACCGTTAATCTAAAAGTAGCATTCAAAAATGCGTACATTGGGAACAGTCTCACACTAGTGTGTATGTTAGACAGTGCTGTTTGCCAACAGAGATACCGTAAATGGGTACAAAATCCAGATGTTAGGGAAATTATGTGTGTGAAAAAAAACCCGATGTGGTTTTCTACATATTTCTTTTGGAAAAACAATGCGGGCTAATGAGGACATGAAAACAGATTTATGGGTGTGTAGAATGACCAGCCTGTCCTCAGTTGAGGAAAGAAATATATGCATGGACCCAACTCTGCTCATTGAGCATTAATCAAGCAATCTGTTTGCATGTAGGAATCAGGAAAAGGAGTGTGCAGTTACATCAGTTACTGCTCCTAATAGATCACCTTCTATCTATGTGTTGCTTCTCCACTCTTTGACCCAATTTTTGTCTTACCATCTGTTCTCCAGCTGTGGCAGGCCATACAGCCAAACAGACCCCAGAGAAGGAATGCTGGATAGGAATGACGGTGCAGCACACACCTTGAACAGGACAGGTAAATAGGCATCTACTGTACTTGAAGATCAAGCTTGGGACAAGGTGGACTTCATTTTTTGTTAATGGAATTGCTGAGGGATCTGCTTTGGCTAGGTCAGGAGTAGGCAACCCAAAACACTCAAAGAGCCACTTGGACCCATTTCCCACCAAAAATAAAACACTGGGCGCCACAAAACCCTTTTGATATGTAAAATGAAGCTAACACTGCATATATTCTTTTTTACCTTTATTATAAGTGTGTGTGTGTGTGTGTGTGTGTGTGTAATAAAGGTAAAAAAGGATATATGCAATATTATCTTCATTTTAGATGTCAGAAGGGTTTCTCTCTCTGTGTGTGTGTCTCTCTCTCTTTCTCTCCCTCTCTCTCCCCCCCCTCTCCCCCCTCTCCCTCTCTCCGATCTTCTGCTTACCTGGCAAGCTGGCTTCAAGCTGTTCTCCAACAAGCTCAGGGGTAGGCAACCTTGGCTCTTTTATGACTCATGGACTTCAACTCCCAGAATTTCTGAGTCAGCATAGCTGGGCTAGCTAGCCCTCTCCTATCCTTCCTGCTGAGACGCAGCAAAGGGAGGAGCCCCGCCTCCAAAGCTTTTCAGCTTGTCAGAGAACAGCGTGAGTCCACTCTCTTTTACACACACACACACACACACACACACACACACAGAGAGAGACAGAGACAGAGAGAGAGAGAGAGAGAGAGAGACAGAGAGAGAAGCAGGGAAGCGCAAGTGCCTTTCTGTGTCTCTGTCTCTCTCTGCAAATGGCAGAGGAGGCTGGGAGCCGCAGGGGAAGGCTCAAAGAGCCGCATGCGGCTCTGGAGCCGCAGGTTGCCAACCTGTGGGCTAGGTCAAGAAAAGAGTTTTTGTCCTCAGTTGGGTCCTAACAGCAGTAACAGGCAGTTGGGCTTTCATTTCAGATGATCCTGCACAGGCCACCTCCGACTATGAGACAAATAACAGTGACAGCAGTGACATTGTGCAGAACGAAGATGAGACACCTTGCGCCAAGGACCCGATCCAGGCGGGCCCACGCTGCAGGACGTTTGCTCCAGAGACGGTGATTTTGCATCCTTTGCTGCCTGTGGAGGTATCTCATTCACTGTTGAATATAATAGGACCTTACTAATGTACCTGAGATGCTTAGAAGGAGCTGTAGGCATTGTAGGAGAACTCTTTTCATCCTTGGTAGCCAGAAATGAAAAAGAGTCTGGTTTGCAAGTTTGACTTCAAGAGTCGAAACAAGAACAAAGTAATATCACAGCATTATAACCTGCCAGGACAGTCCATTACAGATCTCAAAAGTATCCATTTTGGAGGAAGGGAACTGTTATTCCTGGAAAGTGGGCAGAGAAGAGCAACCAAGACAATAAAGGGTCTGGAGCAGTGGTGGGATTCAAATAGGTGAACAACCGGTTCTCTGTGTGGATGCCGCTTCCGGAAGTCCATTCTGGGCCTGGGCAACAAAAAAATTAGCTACCAGTTCTGCTGAAGTGGTGCGAACTGGCTGAATCCTACCACTGGTCTGGAGGCTAAATCGTATGACAAACACTTGAGGGCGCCAGATATGTCTAGCCAATTGAAGATAAAGATGGGAGGACATGATAACTTACCTTCTAGTACTTGAGGGGCTGTCACAAAGAAGAGGGGATTGGCTTATTGTCCAAAGTACCAGAGAAATAATGGGTGGAAGCTTCTCCTAGATGTAATGAGAAATTTTCTGTCAGTGAGGAGAATTAATCAGTAGAATAGCTTGCCTCCTGGGGTTATGGGTGTTCCAAAGCTGGAGGTTTTCAAAAACAGACTGGACAACCATTTGACTGGGATGGTATAAGACTCCTGCCTTGAGAAGATTGGACTAGAAGACCACCAAAGTCCCTTCCAGCCCTATGATTTTAACTTGAACAGCACAGTTGAGTGAGGGACTGCTGAAAAGCTTCAGACTTTCCAGATGCCTCAACAAACACAATAGGTTTTTAACATAATTACAATTGATATGATACCCATAATTTGTCTCATGTATAACCTGCATCTGCACAACCAACCCGGTTTTCTCCATCCTTCCCCCCCATTCTCAGTCCAATTTAAATCCAAAATCGGTCCAGCAACTCCATGCACCTGTTAGTTTGCTGCAACTTGTGAAAGCTTATGCCATCTTAAGAAAATCTGTTAACCAGAAAAGGCTGTAGAGTCTTGAAATCAGCATTTGAAAAAATTTTAAGTTCATTGTTTTTGTTTTGTTTTGTTTATAAAGCTGCGGTTTCAACACATGTTCTGTGTTTATCTTATTTGTATGCCGCATGTTTACAGTCAATTTCAAAATTCCATTTGTGGACATCTGGTTAAAAGAAAAAAAAGGAAAAAACACCAGTTAGGTGTAGAATAAACCACTTCTAAATAATCTAAATAATAACCTAAATCATCAAGTGTTCAGGTTTGTTCTCCTTACCATTTGTAGGAGATGATACGGAGCTATACAGTCTTTATCAAAAGATATAAACAAGCTTCACGTGATGACATCCGACTGATTGTGCTCCTTGAAACTGTCTGCTGATTTAGCCAGACTTGTTGTCAGGCACGAAGGATCAGGACTGCCAGTTAAGCTGATTTATTGCTCATGCCTATACACAGAAATCTAGCCAATTAATGGTCAGTACTAAATTGTGTAGATACGACACAACAAAAGTCAAGAAAGGTTGGACTTAGTCCAATTGTGGGAATGTAATGACTCTAGGCTGATGACTTGCTTAACTCCGCCTCCCCCCACCCAAGGCTCTGCCTGCTCTTCTCCTTACACTTGTAAGACCAGTCAGTTACCTTAAGGCTTGGGGAATCAGAGAGTTTCCGATTATGTTTTGGATGTGAGGATCTTCTGGAGTGGGAAGGTCTAAATATTTAAGATGAATATTAAAGATACTCAGTAGCTCCAGAGCATTGACTGATGAGTAGGACACAGAATAGAAAAGAGAAAATGTGGAATCTGAAATCTTGAACATCGGCACCCTCATTCCCCTTGTTTTGGGAACAAGGTCATTATTCTTTGTAAGCCCCATCCCTTGGCCCATCTTAACTTTGAAAAACTATGGTAAAGTCAAGCTTGGCTCCTGGTGGCTTCATCCATACTTCTGCGTAGTTTTCTGAGCAATGGTAATAGAAGAGTAATTTGTGTGTATCTTCTTTTCAGATGGATTTTTATCTATCTAATCAAATCTCCTCTAGTCTAATCAAATCTAATCTAAATGGCCACCTACCTCATCATACAAGGTGGCTCTTGTTGACGTACAATAAAGCCAACTATTAAAACTGAACATTGTTGTTGTTGTTAGTTGCGAAGTCGTGTTCGACCCATCGTGACCCCATGGACAACGTTCCTCCAGGTCTTCCTGTCCTCTTCCATCTTCTGGAGTCCATTTAAGCTCACGCCTACTGCTTCAGTGACTCCCTCCAGCCACCTCATTCTCTGTCGTCCCCTTCTATTGCCCTCAATCTTTCCCAGCATCAGGCTCTTCTCCAGTGAATCCTTCCTTCTCATTAGGTGGCCAAAGTATTTGAGTTTCAACTTCAGGATCTGGCCTTCTAAAGAGCCGTCAGAGTTGATCTCCTCCAGGACTGACTGGTTTGATCGCCCTGCAGTCCAGGGGATTTGCAGGAGTCTTCTCCAGCACCATAGTTCAAAGGCCTCAATTCTTTGGTGCTCAGCCTTTCTTATGGTCCATCTTTCACAGCCATACATTGCAACTGTGAAAACCATGGCCTTGACTATACACACTTTTGTTGGCTTTTTAGTATGCTGTCTAGATTTGCCATAGCTTTCCTCCCCAGGAGCAAGCGTCTTTTAATTTCTTGGTTGTTGTCCCCATCTGCGGTGATAAAACTGAACATAAAAACAAATAATTAAATAAGAAAAAACAAGATTGCAAGAGGGTTCAGATGTTATACGTGGTGCATCCAACGTACACACTCTCTGCTGCCAAGGGATGCCAAGGCCTGATGGGAAAAAAAACCCCAAAACACATTTTGGATGTTCGCCAAACAGCCAAAATGGCTAGTGCTAATCTTACCTTTCTAGCCCTCTTTTTCTCATGATTTCCTCTGCTTCCCGTGCTAATTACACCTGAACCTGTCACAGATCCTTTTCTATATACCCAGATCAGTGGGCTCCAAAACCCAAGAGAGCCAATGCAACCACAAAGGTTTCTAGGCAACATCCACACAAGCATTCAAAGAGACTAGTAATACTACTACTGACTACTCCATTCTTCCCCCGTTCTACTACAGCTCCTGTTCCTCTACTATGTCTCTTTATCAGTTCTACTGTTTGAGAACAGTACCTCTTTCTAGTAGCCTTGGGATGCTTTAGGCCAGTGATGTCGAACTTTTTAGAGACCGAGTGCCCAAACTGCAACCCAAAATCCACTTATGCATCGTCGGGTGCCAGGTGGGTGTGGCCCATTGGCTGGGTGTGGCCAATTGGGTGGTTGTGGTCCATTGGGTGGGCATGGCTGTGGTGGTAACGGCAGACTGGGTGGGACTAAAAAGTGCAATCAATCAATTCCAACTTTGCAAGATCTTTTTTTTTTTCTGCGAGAAGTTGAAATTGACTGATTGAACCTTTTTTTTTTTTTGCACACGGTGGCAGAGGCCTAAAGCGAAAAGGTTTTATAAAACTCAGCTGAAAGCCTAGGACTGGGGCGATGGAGCGCGTGCCCACAGAGAGGGCTCTGAGTGCCGCCTCTGGCACCCGTGCCATAGATTCGCCACCACCGCTTTAGGCTTTATTTCAATAAATTAACACAAACCACCTTCCATCTCATTCTCACTCCCACACCAACACCACTCCAACCCTGCTACTTCTACTTGCTTCTCTGTTCAGCTTTTGTAGCTACCAGTTGCTGTGCTGGCTAGGGAGAGGTCTTGATGGGTGGGTAACTATGGTCCCTTTACAATCTGTAGGCCATGCTGGCTTGGGAAATCTGGGAACTGAAGTCTAGAAGTCATAAAGGGCCATAGTTGCCCACCTCTGCCTTAAAGGAACAGCCCAGATGCTGGCCATTTTGCAGGCAGCCTACCCTCTCAGACAGATGTCTTAGTTTTGTGAGCTGAACCAAAGTATAGGATAAAAATAAGATAAAGGTGGGCTTTCTATTCCAGTTAGCTATTAAGATGGGTACCCTTGCAAAGATATATAGATAGCCATTGGGACTGGACACCTATGAGGATTAATGTTTAACTTGTTTCAAATTCTTTATTTAATCTTACTGTATTTTATTATTTTTTTTGTACTGCAAACTGCCAGGATATTATGGGATGTTGTGGTCTGGAAGAGTTAGAAATAAAGACAAAAAGAAATATTCTAAGCAACAGCCATAAAAAAACCAACCGTCAAAACAGAGAAAAATGGTTTGAAAGATGGGAGATGGAAGTAATTTGAAACAGTTGTGAACAAATTTGCTCAAGAATCCCCAGGTGGCCTAAATTAAGCTCCTAAATATCCACATTTAACTCATCGCTAATGAACTCCCAGGAATGGTGCAAGAATCCAAGGTGGCCATTTTGAAAGTAATACATTGATTATTTATCTTTTGAATTGCAGAGTTCAAAAGCTAAATAAGGTTAGGAACTTAGTGTTCCCTGAGCTTGGTTTTCTCCTTGCAGATGTTTAGTTAGCAAACTGCCTTTGTTATGAACCCTGTGTACAAATTACTTTAAGTAAACAACGGCCGAAGAGGGAAGCAAATAGAGGCACATCTCTCTTATCCCACATCCATCAGTCGACATATATGTAATAATAATAATAATAATAATAATAATAGCACCACTTGAACACCATTGGCATTGACAAATTCACTATTAATCAATTGCAAAAGGCGGCCTTACTAGGAACTGCTTCCATCCTGCGACGATATCTGTAATACCATCAAACATCCACATCTGCCTATCCCAGGTCCTGGGTAAAGACTCGATAGGTAGACAAAATGCCAAATCCAGTCTGAACATTTGGCTGACTGTGCGATGATCCATAATAATAATAATAATCTTGGGTGCAATCCCAAAACAACTGGAGCACCACTTGAACACCATTGGCATTGA